TGAATAGTTAGGGAGTTTCCGGTTTTGTTTTGTGAACAATGCTGCTGTGAATTTTCTAGTTTGCATCTGTAGTTGAGTGTGTGGCTGGCTACCTTTCTACTGGATGTATACGTGGGAGTAGAGTTGCTGGATTGTATATCATGAGCAGGTTTAGCTTTAGTGGATCCTGCTAAATGGCTTTCAAAGTAGTTGAAACAATTATACTCCAAGCAGCAGTGCATGAGAATTCCAGTTGTTCTGCTTCCTTGATGACACTTGGTAATTTCTTATTTTTGGCATTCTGGTAGAATATAGCCAATTGTCTGGTTTTATGTTGTATTTTTCTATATTTTTCTTACTGGTTTATAAAAGTTCTTTGTATATTCTGGTGTGAACATTTTGCACTTACAGACATAATTTAAAATTTCTCCAGGGTCTGAGAAATATTAGTTTTTACATTCAATAAAGTTTTGTTGCATAAAATAGAACAAAAAAGTCACTATCATACCTTTAACCATGGGTGGGTAATAATTATGCCCTGCCTCTCTCATAACCAAACCTTACTGACCAGTTAAAGGAGGGACTATCTACAAGGGCCAGTTCAGATGAGCCTCTGATAGGTCTTGGGGCCCAGATAGGCCTCCTTCTGCTGGACAGTCCATGAGTGGCTATTGATTGATCCAACAGTGACCGCTGGGTCATTCAGCCTGGACCACACAGCCGTTACGCCAATGTTGGGGATGGTCTTCATTCACTTAGTTTTTCATTCAACGAATATTTACTTAGCACCTTCTAGGCTTTATCAGTGGATAAAATAAAGACCCTTGCTCTTGCAGGGCGTATGTTCTAGTAGGGGAGAAAAAGATAATCAGGTTTTAAGTTGTGCAGTATCCGAGAAGGTGATTAGTGAAGACCAATCAGGAGTGTTTTGAGGTCAGTTAGCAGAAGGTGAGAAGGAGAGCTTGAGCAAAGACTGAGGGAGGCATCTATGAGGATGTCTGCAGAGCATCCATAGAGGGAAGGACTGGTGTCGAGCCCTGGGTGGAAATGTGTCTGGCATGTCCAAGAACAGCAAGAAGGACAGGAGATTGCAGAGGTAGTGAGCCCAATCATGGTGGGGCCTGGGTGTCTGTCCTAAGGGATTGGCTTTGCCAATATGTGAGATGAGCTGGGGATTCATTGGAGATTTGAGCAGGAGTGGCATGGTCTCATTTACTTTGCTCACAACTCCAACTGCTGAGGTGAGAAGAGATTAGAGGGAGCAAGGATACAAGCATGAAAACACACGGAGAGGTCTCTCATGAACCAGGTGAGAGATGTTGTGGCTGGGACTGGGGCAGCAGTGGAGGAGGTGGCGAGAAAAGGTCAGATTCTGGATGCATTGCCAGTGAGATGGGATTTTTTAAATGGAGTGGAGGTGGGATGTGAGTGTAAGACAGGAATCAAGATTGGCTTGGCTTCCATGAGACTTCCAGTTCTGGTCCCTACTCTTCACATAAGGTGCCCCCTCATCTCACCAGTTCTCAACCCCATCCCCTATCCCATCCCTTTTTTTCCCTTCTTTTCTTCTTTCTAACCCATTGCTATGACAAAAGTTCTCTCCAGGATCCCTCAGGGCTTGGGTTTGAGCTCTGAAAGCTAGTTCTGAAAGTAAAAATGACTTCTTTTCTCGGCATTCCCACTAAAGCATTCTTAATTTTCCCTGAGGCCATATGAATGCCTCTGACTGATCAAAAAATAAGTCACTCAAAAGAAAGCACAATTGATTAATATTTTAAGATAACTTTTTATTTTGTTTACCGTCTGTCTGCATGTTTTGGTCTACTTGGAATCAGGGACACCTCTGGTTTAGAGCTGGAAGATAAGTAAGAGGTTGTGTGATTGGAGGGCTTGTCTTTTATATTTGAAAAAAACTGAGACTTGGCCCAGAGAGGTAAACTGAGGCCAGGGAAGGTAGACCAGTCCACAGTCAGTTTGTATAGTGCCTGGACCGCAGGTTTTCCACTCTTGGAGAAATGATTCTTCCATGATGACAGACCCGGGGTTACCGTCTCTGTTTCTGGGACTTTTATCTTAGGTTCCCTTTGGTCTTTCCCTCCTCCTCATTCTCTGCCTCTGTACATCCTCTGTAGTTGAGGTCTCTTGGTTTAGGAGTCGATCTAGTACATTACGGAGTCATGTTGATAGCAGTCACATTGATAGCGAATATACCCCTAAAGGCCTGGCTCTCTGCTCTCTGTTGGTGCTCCACATAAGCTGAGCTTTTGTCAGAGTCTTGAAGAGTACATGCCTTTGGGAAGGGCAGCTATTTTTTGCTTGCCTCCCCAACCCAGTGCCATGTCATGGCTCCTTCTAGCTTGTTGGGGAACACTGCTCTGCTGGCTACCCCTTCACAACCAGAGCATAGCCACCAGTCAGGGCTATTGAGCTGCCAGTCCTGGGTCTGGGTTACAATAGCAGCCGTGTTTTCCTTGGCTTGGATGGTGTTTGAATTAACTTAAACAAACATAGGCAGAGCAGCTGGTTAGTGGCACAGAATGTTGGATGGGTATGGGGGTGGGTCCAGGCCAATACTGCTAATTTGTGGCTGTCCCTGATTGTAGGAATCCAAGCCTGGGCCCTGTTAACCTGAGTCAGAATGTGCTGTTTGTGTCCTTGGAAAGAAGTTAAATTGTGGTTGGTTGGCCAGTGGCTGACTGCACTGTAAATACAAATGGAAGCCACAATGTTAACACAAAGATGTCTGAGTTTGCAGATGTGGGTGCTGAGGCTTGGAGAGGTAAAAGGGAGTAGTTGTCCAAGGTCATAGGTAGTGAGAGACAGAGATGGAGTTCACACTCAGGCTCTTGTGATCCCACATCCCATCTTTCCACTGAATTGCTGGTCAAGGGTCTGCCAGTGTCTCTCTAAGATGTTTATTCACTCTGAATCTCTGCTTCTGAGTTAATCACCCTCTGCTTGATCTGCCGCAGGGGTGGAGTTACCAGCTCAGCCCCTCCCTGCTGTTCCCTGTAGTCTGCAGGGGTTCCCTGTTTTGGGTCTGTTTACCCTTTTCTGGTATTCTGACTGATACCATGGAACATCCATCTCCAAGCTAAGGGATATTTGATTAATGACAGGGTCCTTAGAGGCTCCCTTCTTTTGGTTCTGCTCTTTTATGGAACATGACAGAAAATGAGGGACTAGGAGTCAAGTTACTGGTCTGAGTCCTGGTTGTGTGTGCTGGTGTGTGACATTGGCAGCATTCCTGCACTTGGGCTCAATTTACTTGACTATAAAACAGAGGGGTTGGAAATAATCTATCTTGGTCCCTCCCAATTTGAAAATACTGTGCCTGTCTTTTAAAAGAAAAGCAAGCAAACTAAACAATAAAGTCAATATACCTCCCCCAACAAAATTACTCTCAAATCCACATCTAATAGGGATGGCATTTGTGATTTGGGTTCTGGCATTGGTAATTGTGGTTGTAAGATTCTAATATGGTTGCTGCTAAAATTTGGTCAGAAAATTTGAAGCAATGCAAGGGACTTTAATCCCTGAAAGTCCTCTACGCAATATTTCTAATATATATTTTGTCAAAGATTTGATGTTCTCTGCTTAGGTATTTCTAACAAGCGCTCTCTCCAAACAAATCTCTTTGAAAATGCATTAGATAACGCTGTTCCTTCAATTCCATATCTTCCTTGCTGTCTAAACTGAAAAAGCCAGTTCACGTTATTAATGACAAGTCATTTTACAGAGTGCCCGGGTTAATAGAAGAGATAACTGGAAAAATATAAATGTGTAATACTAACATGCTAAAGATAAAACAGAGGTCTGATGTGGAATGTATAATGTGGAATGGAGGATAAACTTCCTGGCTGGTGTAGAATTTGTGCAGAATGAACAGGAAAGTTATGGCTACCAGCTGGTCTGTTGGTTTCTCTACTTGCTAATTTCTTAAGCCCTTTTTCTACACTATTATCTTTCTAAAATCCAAATCTTAGAATTTCAGAGTAAAACAGGGTCCTTAGGGAATTTGGAGGAAGAGGAAACCAAAGGAGATTCACCTTAAGAAATGTTGCCAGTTACAGGCAGAATTGACTTGGGGACTCATGCTAACTTCCACTTTGGTGCTTTGCCCATGATGCTGCTACTGCAGGTGTGTGAGTCAGCTTTTCATCACTGTAACAAAGTACCTGAGATAATCATCTTATAAGAGAGAAGGTTTATTTTGGCAGATAGTTTTGAGGTTCCAGTCCATGATCAACTGGTCTCATTTTTTTGGGGGGCCAGTGGTGAGATAGCACAACATGTAGGTAGAGCATGGTAGAGCAAAACTTCTCTTCACAGCAAAAAGAGGAAGAGGAAGGGACCAGGTCCTAAATCCCCTTTAACATATTGCCTAACATATAGTAAGTACTTAATCACAATGCTAATTATAATTAATTTTTTTAAAAGTGGTTTAAAATGCCAGCTAATGCCTTATTTAATCACATCCCTTAAGGCATTAAAAACATTTAAAAATGTCTCTGCATAGAAAGGATTTTTATCTTTTATTTCTCAGTTAACCTCCTGGCATTTAAACAGTGAATTCGGGATGAGGGGATTGACATCCATTTGCATTTAGCAGGGCTCTTTTGAATAGGTAGTTCCTAGAACTGACTCTAGCAGACATTTTCTCATGTGTCTAAACTACCCACACTATTTGGAAAAGCAAACAAAGCTACATTGATCTGAGTTGATTGCTTTGAGAAGTAACAAATTGGCTGAATCTAACTATTTCCTCCCTCCTCCCACCAGCCAGGTTTTGGGTAGATATAGCTTCATTATGAAATCTGACTTGAGCTCCTCTCTGGATAATTCAATCTTAAGGTATAAACAACCTGGAATGTTTTGTGGAAGACCTTGAATGATTTCCAAACAGGAAATGGAAGCCTGACCAGCCATGAGTGAACAAATTCAGGTTTTCAGTTTCAGGTGACCTTGATTAGCATACAGCAACAGAACAATTGCTGTCCCTGAAAACTTACCCTCTCCCTGGCTGGATGAGTTTGATCCATTCTTCTCTGCCTGGAAGAATCATTGAAAGAAACCTCAGGGATGAGAGGAGCCAACTCCTCATTCTGCAGACAAGGAAGCTAGGATTTAGTGAGTTTGCATGGCCATCATCTGTTATAATTTCATATTTCTGTCTTGGTCCCAACACAATGCTGCATTTTCTTCAAGCAAGAGCTATTCAAATTTCCAACTATTTTTTTTCCAGTTTCCACATTACTTACAACAAAACAGAAAAGTATCTGTATCGCAAGTGGAAAAACATCTACCCTCTGGATCAGGTTAGTGCAAAGCCAGGTTATCTAGGGTGGGGTAGAGATGGGTGTTGGGAGATGCCAATGGGGAGGGTGAAAAAGGCCTTCACTGCCACCTTGTGGTCACCTGGGACCACAGAGGGTCATTCCTTGGGAGCCATCTGTCCAACTTCTTGGGCTGCTTGCCCGAGCTCTCTATCAGCACCATCAGCTTTACTTCAATGGAGCTTTTGTTAGAGTTTTTCTTTCCAGTGCATTTTCACTTTCTTTAGCCTTGGGAAAAAGGAAATTGTTGAAAGCTAGCAAAATTCTATAATCTGAAAAAATATCTGCAGGGAGGAAGAGGTCAGGATCCAGGGAATGGCTCTTAAGATGAAATGTTTGAGAGCTTTGTAAGATCTTTGTTTCATCCTGCTGTAGTGGCTCCCAACAAGAGTAGATTTATGGGCCAAAGGCAGCCCCGGGGTTGGCACCTGTCATGTTATCACCTGGTCAATTGGGGAAGTCGGGACAGACGAGGATTCGTTTATTATTTCATTTATCACCCTTGTCTGCAGTCCAAATTAGTTCTCACATCACATTCTGAGAGTCTCAGATTCAATATCATCAGTTGAAATACTAAAAACTATATTTTTCAGTGCAAAAAAAAATGACTTTCAAGGCATGTATTATGGAAAGGATTATAATAAATTAAATGCCTAAACTGGCAGAGTGCAAACAATTTTGACTCAGATCTAAATGTTTGCACTGGCTGTTTAAACATTTAATTTGTTAGAATGGAAGTAGCAGCACAGAATAAGCATGTTAATTAAACTTGGGCTTTAGCAATGTGAGTCATCCCACGGACATAGAGCGTGACAAACCCGGACGGCAAGAGTCATTGTGCATGATTTTCTCATTCTCCGAATGAGCACTTTACATCTTTAAACCCTACAGACATTAGTGATTTTTAATGGATTGTTCTGTCTTTCTGAGGTGACTTTTAGATGATGCTGTAGTGCTGTTAGTCTGGGAGACAACTTTACTAATTAAGTTGCAGGGAAGTTATCACCCACAGATAATTGATTAAAGTGATTACATGGATAATCTGTTCTGTGCCTTGACATTAAAACATAGAAAAACATAAAGAAGGGGAGGCATAACAAAACTTCTAAAGACCAGATTCTCCCAAGAAGAATCTCCATCATCGCCATCATCACATTCATCACTATCATCATAACCAACATCATTAGCACATTTTTTGGGACAGTGGAATGTCCAGTTCTAAATTTTCTTATCAGGTCTTGGTTCTGCCACACATTGGTAACATGATGCTGGCCTTCTATAAGCTTTGTGTTCCTCATGTGTAAAATGAGGACATTTTTTGATAGTTAAGATAAGGCTAAGTTGTAGCCCCCAAATATTGTGATTTAAATAAGATAGGAGTTCATTTATCTCTTTTTTTTTTTTTTTTTTTAATTTTTTATTGTGGGTTGTTCAAAACATTACAAATTTCTTGACATATCATATTCCACACTTTGATTCTAGTGGGTTATGAACTCCCACCTTCACCCCATACACAGATTGCAGATTCACATCAGTTACACATCCAATGATTTACAAATTGCCATACTAGTGTCTGTTGTGCTCCGCTGCCTTTCCCATCATTCACCCTCCCCCCTCCCCACCTCTCCCCTCCCCTCCCCTCCTCTCTCTCTACCCCCTCCACTGTATAACCCTGAGGGTCTCCTTCCATTACCGTGCAATTTACCTTCTCTCTCCCTTTCCCTCCCACCTCTCATCCCTGTTAAATGTTAATCTTCTTCTCCTGTTCTTCGTCCCTACTCTGTTCTTAGTTACTTTCCTTATATCAAAGAAGACATTTGGCATTTGTTTTTTAGGGATTGGCTAGCTTCACTTAGCATAATCTGCTCTAATGCCATCCATTTCCCTGTAAATTCTATGATTTTGTCATTTTTTAATGCAGAGTAATACTCCATTGTGTATAAATGCCACATTTTTTTTATCCATTCGTCTATTGAAGGGCATCTAGGTTGGTTCCACAGTCTTGCTATTGTGAACTGTGCTGCTATGAACATCGATGTAGCAGTGTCCCTGTAGCATGCTCTTTTTAGGTCTTTAGGGAATAGACCAAGAAGGGGAATAGCTGGGTCAAATGGTGGCTCCATTCCCAGCTTTCCAAGAACTCTCCATACTGCTTTCCAAATTGGCTGCACCAATCTGCAGTCCCACCAGCAATGTACAAGTGTACCCTTTTCCCCACATCCTCGCCAGCACTTGTTGTTGTTTGACTTCCTAATGGCTGCCAATCTTACTGGAGTGAGATGGTATCTTAGGGTGGTTTTGATTTGCATTTCTCTGACAGCTAGAGATGTTGAGCATTTTTTCATGTACTTGTTGATTGACTGTATGTCCTCCTCTGTGAAGTGTCTGTTCAGGTCCTTGGCCCATTTGTTGATTGGGTTGTTTGTTCTCTTATTGTCTAATTTTTTGAGTTCTTTGTATACTCTGGATATTAGGGCTCTATCTGAAGTGTGAGGAGTAAAGATTTGTTCCCAGGATGTAGGCTCCCTATTTACCTCTCTTATTGTTTCTTTTGCTGAGAAAAAACTTCTTAGTTTGAGTAAGTCCCATTTGTTGATTCTAGTTATTAACTTTTGTGCTATGGGTGTCCTATTGAGGAATTTGGAGCCCGACCCCACTGACTGTAGATCGTAGCCAACTTTTTCTTCTATCAGACGGCGCGTCTCTGATTTGATATCAAGTTCCTTGATCCATTTTGAATTCACTTTTGTGCATGGCGAGAGAAAGGGATTCAGTTTCATTTTGTTGCATATGGATTTCCAGTTTTCCCAGCACCATTTGTTGAAGATGCTATCCTTCCTCCATTGCATGCTTTTAGCCCCTTTATCAAATATAAGATAGTTGTAGTTTTGTGGATTGGTTTCTGTGTCCTCTATTCTGTACCATTGGTCCACACGCCTGTTTTGGTACCAGTACCATGCTGTTTTTGTTACTATTGCTCTGTAGTATAGTTTGAAGTCTGGTATCGCTATACCGCCTGATTCACACTTCTTGCTTAGCATTGTTTTTGCTATTCTGGGTCTTTTATTTTTCCATATGAATTTCATGATTGCTTTCTCTATTTCTACAAGAAATGCCATTGGGATTTTGATTGGCATTGCATTAAACCTATAGAGAACTTTTGGTAATATCGCCATTTTGATGATGTTAGTTCTGCCTATCCATGAACAGGGTATATTTTTCCATCTTCTAAGATCTTCTTCTATTTCTCTCTTTAGGGTTCTGTAGTTTTCATTGTATAAGTCTTTCACCTCTTTTGTTAGGTTGATTCCCAAGTATTTTATTTTTTTTGAAGATATTTTGAATGGAGTGGTTGCCCTCATTTCCATTTCAGAGGATTTGTCGCTGATATACAGGAATGCCTTTGATTTATGCGTGTTGATTTTAAATCCTGCCACTTTGCTGAATTCATTTATTAGCTCTAATAGTTTCTTTGTAGAGCCTTTTGGGTCTGCTAGATATAGAATCATATCATCTGCAAATAGTGATAATTTAATTTCTTCTTTTCCTATTTTTATGCCTTTAATTTCTTTCGTCTGTCTAATTGCTCTGGCCAGTGTTTCGAGAACTATGTTGAAGAGAAGTGGAGAGAGAGGGCATCCCTGTCTTGTTCCAGATTTTAGAGGGAATGCCTTCAGTTTTTCTCCATTCAGAATAATGCTAGCCTGAGGCTTAGCATAGATTGCTTTTACAATATTGAGGTATGTTCCTGTTATCCCTAGTTTTTCTAGAGTTTTGAACATAAAGGGATGCTGTACTTTGTCAAATGCTTTTTCCGCATCTATCGAGATGATCATATGGTTCTTATTTTTAAGTCTATTGATGTGGTGAATAACATTTATTGATTTCCGTATATTGAACCAGCCTTGCATCCCAGGGATGAATCCTACTTGATCATGGTGTACAATTTTTTTTATATGTTTTTGTATCCGATTCGCCAGAATTTTATTGAGGATTTTTGCATCTAGGTTCATTAGAGATATTGGTCTGTAGTTTTCTTTCTTTGAAGTGTCTTTGTCTGGTTTAGGTATCAGGGTGATGTTGGCCTCATAGAATGAATTTGGAAGTTCTCCCTCCTTTTCTATTTCCTGAAGTAGCTTGAAAAGTATTGGTATTAGTTCTTCTTTAAAGGTTTTGTAAAATTCTGCTGTATACCCATCGGGACCTGGGCTTTTCTTAGTTGGTAGTCTTTTGATGGTTTCTTCTATCTCCTCAATTGATATTGGTCTGTTTAGGTTTTCTATATCCTCCTGACTCAATCTGGGCAGATCATATGACTTAAGAAATTTATCTATGCCTTCACTATCTTCTAATTTATTGGAGTATAAGGATTCAAAATAGTTTTTGATTATCTTCTGTATTTCTGAAGTGTCTGTTGTGATATTGCCTTTTTCATCCCGTATGCTAGTAATTTGAGTTCTCTCTCTTCTTCTCTTCACTAGCATCGCTAAGGGTCTGTCGATTTTGTTTATTTTTTCAAAGAACCAACTTTTAGTTTTGTCAATTTTTTCAATTGTTTCTTTTGTTTCGATTTCATTAATTTCAGCTCTGATTTTAATTATTTCTTGCCTTCTACTTCTTTTGCTGTTGTTTTGCTCTTCTTTTTCAAGGATTTTGAGATGAAGTATGAGATCATTTATTTGTTGGTTTTTTCTTTTTTTAAGGAATGAACTCCAAGCAATGAATTTTCCTCTTAGAACTGCTTTCAATGTGTCCCATAGATTCCGATATGTTGTGTCTGTGTTTTCATTTATCTCTAAGAATTTTTTAATTTCCTCCTTGATGTCTTCTATAACCCATTGATCATTCAGTAACCTATTGTTCATTCTCCAATTGATGTATGCTTTTTCCTTCCTTCTTTTATCGTTGATTTTCAGTTTCATTCCATTATGATCAGATAAGATGCATGGTAATATCTCTACTCCTTTATATTGTCTAAGAGT